CTTGCACCATCTGCAATCGCACATATAACTTTGTTGGTATAATATTCTTTACTTAATCTAAATAATGATTTGTCTGATTCAAATACAATGTTTATACCAGTAGTTAATGAATTTGAATCACTACCACCGAATAGGGACATATCCAACAACTCCGTGACCATGTAAATAGGTATCCCATTGCGGTCTGTTTGAACCAAAACTAGTGCTTTTTCCTTTCCCGTTTTTCTAGCCTGACTACCATTGCTAAGAATAGAAAAAAAGTTGCACAACTTGAGAATTTCAGCACATTTTTCACGGACGACGTCTGCACAACATTTAATTATTTCTCTGCCTGTGGATCCATTTTCTTTGCGTCTTATCAAACTTGCGCCACTTATTTTTGCACACCTCACCTTAAAGATGTTCATTAAACAGTAAAAAATTATAAAAAAAAGTCATTACACGTAGCCAAAGACAAAAAATTAAGTTTTATAATTTTATTTCACACATTTAAAAGCATGTTTAAACCTTACAAGAACAGAAAAATGAGTATGAGGTATTGTTGGACGGCACGCCATTTCATAAGCAATTTTTACCAGGTAACAGGTGTATATGTATGTTATAATAAAAAGTGATTTTATCCATTTTAATTTAAAAAATAAAATTACTTATTTCTTGTTTTTAAGATTTTATGCTTTAATATGCATTAAATATAAACTGCAATTGTATTTAAATTGGAACAAATTTTCTAAATAAAACATTTTAACCTTTATACCTTTTGCTCCTTTGTTTTCCTCGCATCCTTTATTTTCTAATTGCGTTGCATACTAGTGAGCCGTTCCTGATATATGTCTTGAAACACCATTCTTTTTAATACAACTTGTGCCATTGATATACCATAAAGTAGATTTAAGGTTAATTTTTGTTTTCTAATTATTTTTGGTTGCATTAACCAAATATTATTACAAAACAAAAAGGTAATAAAAATTTATTTTATGGCTTCCACAGCGTGCGCGTACCTAAGAAAACCTCCATTGTGATATTACAGAAATGTTATAAGTGGAAGTCATGCTTGGCACTTTTTTCAAAATAACGGCTAACTTGGTTTATAAAAAAAAATTGTTACGTTTTTCAATTTATTTACCTAATGCACTGTAGTGGATTTTTAACTAAACGTTTTGATTCAAAAATTTGCTTTAAACAATTTCTTGTCTGGATCCTTTATAATTCTTGTTAATATGTGTAATATTTGAAGTAATGAAATAAATTATTTAAAGAAAAAAGACTCTAGCAAAGATTTGTTTTTTTTTTATGTATATAAATACAAAATATTTTATACAATGAAATTCTACTAAAAAATATAACATAAAATCTACTTGCACTAACAGTAGTAGTAAAACAACTTTTTTTTTTTTAAGAAAAAAAATTAATGCACGTTTTATATATGTCCTCATTTAGATATATTTTATATTTTAAGTTTTATGAAATGGCTTATGATTACAGGTTGCAAATTAATTTTTATTTTATTTTTTACCATTATCGAGCCTTTTTCAGGGTGTTTGTGGAAATTCGCTTTACATCGGTAGAAACCGAGTAACAAAACCAGGTTATATAAACTTATTAAACTATTGACGTTCTATTTTTCAGCAGCTGTTCTTGAGCACGCTTTGTTGAGTTTCAGTAACTTTTAACAAAAAAGTGATTGTTATTATTTAAGTAATTTTTATTGAGTTACTTTTTACAAAAATTTTAATAGCTGTACTTTCTTATTGAATCAAGTAGATTACGTTTTAATATTAACCCTTTTATTTATTTTTTTATTTGCGCTTACCAATTTTTAAAATATTTTCTCGAAATTACTTTTAAATACTTTAAATACGTCTAACAGTTAATAAATATTTTTAAATCTATGGAATAATTTTAAAACCTAACAAACCCCCGTAAAATAATTATTTAAGTTAAAAATCTAAAACTAAAAGAAAGTATTTTTGTTCATTTTTATCGACAACTTTGCTATTGCTGAATAATTTTATTAAAATGTTTGCTTAAAAAGATTTAAACTTTTTTTTTTAATCTGAATTTTTTCTACTTGTAAATATTGAGCATATTTAATTTTTCTGTAATTCAAACTTTTATATCAACAGCGTGCGGTTTTTAAAATACCTTATTAAATGTTAAAATAATCTTAAATTACTTCATTAAAATTCTGCTCAAAAATATCTTTAAATATACTCAAACAAAATATTTTTTGCTCGACGCAAATAGCCCTAGCTACACGCAAAATCGCTCTTGGACGACGTTCACATTCACATCGCCCGACGCTTATCGCAAACCCATATTCTTATTTTTTATTTTAAAAGTATGTATTTTTTATGTAAATGTAATTTTGTGTATCTGCTTTTTATCATAATATAATCTTTTAAAGCAATTTTTATGATTTATTTTGTAAACAAAGACTTACAAAAATAATTGCGTTTTCAATGAAGTTATTAATAATCATTAAAGTTAAAACTAATCATGTAACAAACATAAGAAGTTTTTGGTTACTAAACACAAACAATGCATACAAAGTAACTCGCGGATGAACAAGCACCGCACCTGAGGTCACAACAGAACACAAATATATATAGCAAGTTATTAGATATAAAGAAAAGTTTCTAGAGATTGGTTTACCAAATATTTTTGCTCAAGTTGCCATTCTTAAAAACTCATTATACTTTTTTCTGCTTTAAATACTAATTAAAATTAAAAGCCCACTCACTAAACATCATCAGTGATATTGTGAAGCAGTTTCGCTTCCTCGTCTGGTATTTTTAACCATTTTAGTTGATTTTTATCTAGTTAATTTCTATAGTTAATTAATGATTTAATTATTTCATTTGTTTATCATACTAAGAAGAATTGTTTCAAATATGTTAAACTTTTCAAACTATGCAAAACATAAAATAGGTATTACAAAAATTAACTTTATTTGTAAAATAATTTAGCTTAGATAAAACTTAAACTTGCAAACTTTGTTAAATAAAGAACATTTGTTTCCTTTTTAAAAAATCGTAAGATCTTACTTTATATAAAAAACATCGCTTAATTTTATAAAAATTATAAAAAAGCGATGTTTCAAAAATATTCATTCTAAATGTAATTTATTTTGCTCGCGTTGAAAGGTATTTTATTTTGCTAATTTTTTTTTTTTTTTTTTTTTTGTAATTGTCTCTTATCAGTCAAATTAATCTTCTGCGCATTTTTTTTTTTTGCTTTTTGAAATGTTCTCAAAACGGCTAAAAAAATCTGGCCAGCTTTTCGCAACTAAATATTATTTCCGTGGTCAGCAATCGAGAGCAATCGCTCCCGCTTCCCGACCAAGCCTGAATAAGATAATTATGTTTGAAATAAATAACTTGTAAATAAAATATGTTTTTATAATGTAAAACTAGTAGTGTCCCATCTGCTTTGTTAACGCACCATATAAAATTATATTAAAATTAAAAAAATTAAAATAAATAGTTCAAATCGACAAAAAAATGTAAATAAACACTTTTGTTTTTATAGAAAACATTATTGCGTATTAGTAGTATTTTTTAAAAAAATGATTCAACTTATTGACAAACTTTTTTTAATAACGCTTTTTTTTTTGGAAACAGGTTTCACAAACTTTAACTGATAATTTAATTTATTTTGTTAATAATTTAACTTAACTTTAATTGATAACTTTTTTTATTTAAAGACTAAAGAAAAAAAATTATAAAAAATTATATATATTTTAATTTACATTCGCAAAAAAAACTTGTTATAATTCGAGTATATTAATAAAGAAAAATACATTAATCATTTTTGTAAGAAATCATTAGTACTTGCAAACTGCTCAACCTGGTGCAGTCAGTCATGCCAGATGGCTAACTAAAGCCAACCGTTTGTTGAGGTTGTATATTTGCGAACAATGTCCTTCCCATAATCTTTGACGTATTGTTTCATTCATACTGAACTTCTATGCACCGTCATGGTTTCATATCAAATCTCCTCCGACATGCTGAGATAGTGCCAAAAATTTCTTCTTTATGATGTCACTTTACCAGAAACTTGACAAGCCTGATCAGGAGATTGTTGCGCCAGTATTGCAAAACAACAGCTACTTTTGCCATCCAGAAAATATCTTGGTGGCAGCTGTTGGTGATTATGGAAGTATCAGGAAATTTGCTTTTGAAAAAATTCTGCATGCTCGTAGTGAAAATTTCGATGATAGAATTTGTTGTTTTGACAAAAGCTTGATCAAAATTAACTTCACGTGCAAGTCATACTTAGATATGATCAACTGGATCAAGGCCATCTTTGCTTCTCCTCCACTTCTGGATGACATCACATCAGAAACAATTGTTAGTCATTCAAAAGTTATTCTACCTAAGTTTCCATGCCATTCGCAAGATGTTGAGAGAAATATCAAAGATATATCGGTGGTCTGCGGTAAAGTTTAAGGACACGATTCACACCATAGTGTTATCATTCAAATGAAGAAATCGAGAATAGACTTGCCTAGTTTAGAAACTAAAGCTGATTTCCTACCATAAGTAAGACACTTATACTTAACATTTGTATGCTTGATATTTGTAATGCATGCCATGTTGGTTACTTGCTTTATTTCCTTACGAAGATGTGGAATTAGAGATGAAAGCCTAAATGCGAGCAAGGCTCGAAAGTGCGATAATTTGCAGACTAAGTTGCTAGAAAATGATGATGTATATTATAAATCAGTTTTTTGTGTAATAATTACTTTGATATAAAGCACTGATTTTCATTTGTCTCAGACCTTAATTGGAAAATTTGTTATGTTTTGTCCCACCCTAATATCTATATATGTATGTATGTATGTATGTATGTATGTATGTATGTATGTATGTATGTATGTATGTATGTATGTATGTATGTATGTATGTATGTATATATATATATATATATATATATATATATATACATAATTTTGAATAAATAAAATTAAACAAAAACCTTTTTATGCCAATCTATCATACCTTTATTTTTTTCATGTGACTTTTTAATGATTTCTTCATCCTTTTTATTTCGTTCTTTTTCTTTTCTACCATCCTTATTTTGTTCACGCTTATCATTTTGATATATCCTATCATTGTTATATTGTAGTTTAACTATTGGAGCTTTTTTATCAACTTTAGGTAATCCTAAAAACATATATAGAACACATTCAATAGTAAATAAAATTATTATTATAAATTTAGTACACAAAACACTTATTATAAAATTTTTATTATAAACAAGTATACAAAACACTTAGAAAAAAAGGTATATACTAGCTTCACATAGTTCACATCACATAACAAGTCATAAGAACAGATAATATTCTGGAGAACAGAGGAATGACTATATGACTATATAGTCATTCCTCTATATATAGTATATATACTATATATGGTCATAAACATATATGTTTTTGACCATAGTTCTTATTAATTTTTTGATTAATTTTAAGTGTGCTCTTTAAATGTCAGAGGCCTACTCAATTTTCCATACACATTTTCATTCTGTCCAAAAAACATAACACATGAAAACAAGTTTTCTATGTTAAAAAAAAATTAGTTATCATTAATACTATTAACAACTAATTATTATTATATAACTTATTAATTATTATAACAACACACAAAATATTAACTTCTTGACACAAAAAATTTAAATTACAAATTGGAAAAATCATGTGTAAATGTTTCAAGTGTAAGTATTTCATCAAGCTATAAATAAAAAGACGAGCTAAAAAAAGTGTCAACCATATGCAAACATCTTTGCTATAAAGAAAGATGTATTATGCTCAAAATTCAAAAACTAGAGAATTGCAGAATAAGAGGAGACTTAATTCCAAAGTTTAAAATTGAGAAAGGTCAAACCATCAACAATTAGCATACAAGCCTTAGATTTGACCAGCTCAATGTGGTAAAAGAGAACAGTTTGTATATGAAATCAATATAAATTGTGAACAACGTTATCATTTCTTTAGTAATCATGTTGCTAAACATCGGAATGCACTTAATGATAGAACTATAAACTGTTAATTCAAAAATTGACTAATTTAAATGAATACCTGACATTTCAATAGTTTCCAAACGTTTGACTATAGATAGTTTCCTATAGTCATTTCATGACTTTAATAGGACCGGTATCCTTATTTTCAACTTAAATACTATCATTATTTAATAATAATATTTTAATATTAGTTATAATAATTTATTTTAACTACTATTAAAAAAACCATATCTTAATATATTAAAAACTTTATATTTTGTTAGTGTTGTTATGTACATTTGTTATTGTACATATTAAATTTCTATATATCCCCTAGGGACAAAAATTTGATACAAATTTTAAAGAATCAAAACCTATTGAATTTGTGATTACACAATTGTTTTATTGTTGCATTAATTGTAAGTTGAAAGTTTTGTTAGTTGAAATTTTTAAAACACTTTTTGTGTTTCAAAAATATGGTAACCCTACAAAATGCTCTATGATGTTTAAATTTTGCAAGTTAAAATATTTGGATTGTTCCAATAAAGTAGTAAGTTTTATTTTGCGATTTATTAATTAATCTAAATAAACAACTATATATGTATATCTAATACTTTTAGAGATTTTTTTTTCAAAAATTTTGATTAAACTTTTATCCCACTTTATGCCTAAACAGTTAACTGATGGTTACCTTTTAATAACATTTTTATCTATATTTTATCTATATATTTTTATCTATATAAGATTTGGTGATATTACCAGTCTAATTTGATTTATGGAACAAAATTAATTTAGTTTTGTCCACATAAAATGAACATTTGTTACTTACAAACCTCTCATTAACTTTATCATATTGTTTTTAATAGTTTTTAATCATTAATAATTTTTAATAGTTTTAACAATATTGTGTAAATTAAAAAATTGAAGTCAAAATAATATAATAATAATATCAATAACTAAAACAATAATATAATAATGATAATAATAAAATAATGATAAAAGAAATCAACAAAAAATATTAATGATAAAAGAAAACAACAAAAAAGAGTTCTATTATGAAATTTGAAATGACAAAGTAAAGAAAATCAGAATATAGCTATATCTAAATAATAAAAACTCAATTCATGGTTCGTGTTTTCATTTAAATATTTTAGGAAATGCCTTGTATAAATGTATCGGAGTTCTGACTTTAAATGAGACCATAGACAATAAGGTACAGTAAAATAATCCAGTATTACTTTACAAAGAAAACTGGGGAAATCACGATTTAAGAGAAACACAAGAAAGATATAAAATATTGGTACAGAAATATGATTTCATTAAAGAATAAATAGAGCTATAGCTAGGCTGCCCCACTCCACCTAATTATAGGCAGCAATTTTAGGGGGCCCATTAGCAAAATTAGGGTCCCTTTTTAAAAGTTTAAGGAACTTTTAAATAATTAGGCTAGATGTTATTAGAGCATAATAATTAGGCCATATGTTATGTTTGTTTGAGAAACGTGGTGGAAAGATTGCTCTACAATAGATTGGAGGGGCCCCCTTCCTTCTAAAAAAACTTTTTTAAGAACCACCAAAATCTTGAAAAAACTTCCCACAAGGTATTACAAAAAAAATTATAACAAAATAAAAAAATTTGTAAATTTACAAAAGAGCCCCCTAAATTCGGTTGGTGGCCTAGATATGGTTCTGGATGTTTGTATATAAGTTTAAGACTCAAGAAAACCATTTGAAATTTCAAACAGTGTGCTATAAAGCCTATATAATAATCATCGAACCAATATGGTGTACCATAGAAGTTGTAGAGTCCTGAAATAAGTGACATTCAAAACTGTATGAAAATTAAAAATTCGATCAAGGTTGCACATAAAATGATGTCAAACTTTGGGTTTTAACTTTGAAAAATTGATTGGAGTGGCGAATGAATTACCCACCTGAGAGAATCAAATGAATTTTGTAGGCGACTATAATATCGTTATATAACATAGGTATACATAATAAATAACTATGTAACAATAATATAAACTCCTACTTTCGGTTTACCCAAGTGAAGGTGTAAGTTTCTAAAAAATTGTTTTTGTAATTTCTTTTTTTTTTTTTACATAACAAATTATTTTTTTATTAGTACCACAAAATTACTATTTACACAATTCATATCTATATGATATGTGATGATACATTAAAAAATCATATCCAAACATATAGTGGACTTAAGTGATACTGCAAAGTATTAGGTGTGAGGTTGAATGTTTCTGTGCTTATAAATTCCTGTAATAAAATCATTGCTAGAAGTTCCACATATCAGATAAACTTGATTTGATTTTGTATTTATTAATGTATTAAAAATACTGCCATCAATTAAAGTCATAAATAAAGTTAATTCGAATTTTTATATTATTAAACAAAAAATCTAATTGTCTGTCAATATCATGTTTTACTTTTAAATGTGCTCTTTGGGTTCTTTAATGTATTTAACTTTTAATAGTCAAGAAAACCGCAAAGATTGAGGAGAGCGCTTGCTTCTTAAGATCGTATTAACTTCAAATGTGGTATCAACTTCAAAAAAAACTTCAAATGAGTATCAACTTCAAAAGTGATCTAATAGTTGTGACTAATAAATTTGAATCAATATGACTACCAGCTGTATTAAATTTTTTTTTATAAGCTGAATAACAGGAAATGCTATCAAAACTGTAGCTAAATATAATTAATGGTATATTTAGCTACAGTTTAATAATACGGTATCAATGTTCTTAAGACAGTTAAATGAAAACTCCTAATGTAAAATAATCATTATGAGCAACTATGGGCAAGTTTTGAAACCTGGAAAATATTTTTTTAACATCGACTAAGTTTAATCCTGCAAAAAATATTTTGGAGAAATATGGAGACTTTTTTATAAATCAATAAATTATAATAAAAAAATATGGAAGAAGATATATTATATACGTGTTATTTGCTTTTATATAGATAATATAATAATGCAATATTTAAATTTATTTATATATTTTTAAAAAGGACATTTACTTTACAGCAAAAAAAATATTATTTAATGTTTACATAAAAATAAATGCCGTGAAACAGCGCACCAAAAACCAGCGCAACCAAAACGCCAGGCGCCCTGGTTGAAGCGCTGCAACGTTACCATTTAGATTTTTGAGAAAACCCTAGATTTCCCATCGCAAAATCCCCAGAAATATCCAGATTATGCAAACGGTATTAAGTTATTGCAAAAAAAAATTTTTTTCACAGGCATTTGTCTGTGATAACCGTCGGTTTACACAGACAAATGCCTGTTAACAGTAACCCTAAGCCAAAAACATTATATTTCCTAAAAGTATATCTAACTAAATTAACTACAACTTTACAACTTAATTAATTTATAAAACAACTAAAAACATTTTATTACAGTTGTTGACCATTTGAGTTAATTGTTTTACTTAGAAGTTAAACTGTATTATAACTGCCCGACGGGCATTTGTTTTTAAAAGTTACGATCTAAATGTATTTTAAATGTCTTTTAAACATAAATGTTTAAAAGACGTTTAAAAGACGTTTAAAACACATTTAGAACGTAACTTTTAAAAACAAATGCCCGTCGGGTGTCATTTATAAGCGACTCTGCCTCCATATCAACAACTTCGAAGTTGTTGATATGGAGGCAGAAGATGATCATCTTCTGCTTTGTTAAGATTATAAGTAGAAGTTGAAAACCTAGACAGCTGCTTGCGGAATTTTAAAATATCTATATAACTCTGCCTGCAACGTTCATCGCATACATTTTGATCACGGTTAAATTGATGACAAGCTCCATTCTTAGCAACTGCTTGCTTTGCTTGTATTCTATTTGCAGCCGTTTTGTAAAGAAGCTTGTTAGTTTTAACCAAGTTAATAGTCAAAAATACTCTTTCTACGCGTTCTGAGGAGTGTGGTAATAATAAAAGTTAATAATAAAATTGCATATAAAGTTGCACAAAATATCAAATTATATCGCCAGAATGCGGGACTTTAAAAACAGATTAAAATCCCCATTATTAATTAAAAATTAATAATGCGGGAGGATCCTCGTCTTAGTAAAAGACTATGTAACCAAGATCGTTTTGTGGTCTTCTGCTGACAATGTTTAAAAAATTTACTGCTAATGTGATAATCAAAGGCTTATTTCT